GGGACAGAGCATGCTATGAAGATGGATCAGAGCGTGGGCTCCTCAGGGAGAGAAACAGGGCAGTCACTTGCCTATAATCTCCATGAAGATCTGCTTCCAGTGCTCACAGGTCTGGAAACCGTGCCGGAGAGCAGAGCCCTCTGGGAAGAGCTGGAGCTGCTGCTGCAGGAAGGTCTCCCATTTCAGGTAGTCAGCATAAGTCTGGAAGGAAGATTTCCCTTTGTAGGTTGTCTGTAAGAAGATGAACACGTTATTCTCGTGTCCCGCTCTTTGGGACAGGGTATGCATGGCAAGGGAAGAGGCAGAACAAGAATTGTGGCATCAGCAGCTACTTCTATCAACTTTGAGAGCAGGCATCTGTCTGCAACAATGCACAAACACTAGCAAGCACTAACTTGCTAGTGGCCAGTGCAGAAAGAACAGAGCTAAACTCCCAAATGTCACAAGAAGAAACTGTCAGAAGGGTAGATGGCGATGCCATGTGCTCACCGATTCAAATGCCATGGAGATCCACTGCACCTTCCCATCCTTCACCCCCACTGCCCCATGAGAGAGCTGTCCAGGCAGCAGGTTTGGCTCGGGGATGTTCTTGCACTCAGGGTGCAACATCTGCAGAAAGGCAGAGATGCTGTATCCTGGAGAGAAAGAAAGAGCAAGGGATGGAGGACAGAACAGGGAAACAAAGCACATCAGAGCAAGGCGGGGCTGGGAGAGGAACCAAAAATCCTGAAGAATATATCCAGTGTCTTTGGAGTTAAAGAGACCATTTCTCTTTCTCATCTCCCAGAAAGCATGACCAGGGGCATGTTCTAAAAGGACTGAACTGCCTTGGAAAGAAAAGGAGGGAGCAAGAAGCAGCCACCCTTTCTGGTTTGCTGCAGCTCAAACAAACAGCTGCAAGCAGTGCTGCAGAAGCATGACCAGGGGCATGTTCTAGAAGGACTGAACTGCCTTGGAAAGAAAAGGAGGGAGCAAGAAGCAGCCACCCTTTCTGGTTTGCTGCAGCTCAAACAGCTGCAAGCAGAGCTGCAGAACAGGAGTCTGATGTTCTTGTCCCACTTGCTGTGTATTTCTCATCCCCAAAACAGCTGGCACAGCACATGGAAGCATGGGCTGAGTGGTCCATGGAGCTGTGACTTGAGCCAGGTGGAAACAGGCAGGGCTGTGCTGCAGCCAGGTCAGGAAAGCTGACTGCCGAGAAACCTCTCCCCCACCACTGCCTGCATTTATCACTGCCTGCTACCTCCCCTTCCTTTCCCTGCTTCATCACGCTGGGATCTGAAAGTTTAAAAGCTGAGGACTGAGAACCAGTCTCCCCCCAGGCACCCAGGATCTCCCCAAGGACACTGTGGCTGGCGCTGGTCCTACGTACCAGAGGGCAGGCACTGAGCCCCTCCAGGCTTCACCAGCTCGCTGTTGCTGGCAATGGCTTTGCAAAGGTGGCACAGGTTGCCAATCTCTTTGAAGAGGTCAAAGCTGTCATCGTAGATAACGCTGCCCTTTCACAAGGAGACACAACAGAAGAGCACCACACATGAAGCATACACACAGCAACTGGCACAAGGCGGCAGAAGCCGAGTCCTCTCCTGGCTACACAGCCTGGGACTAGCTTATACAGACCACAGTTATACAGCAGAAAAACCCACCACACATCTTTGCCGCACCACACAACTTGGGAAGAAGCTACCGCCTCCCACCCCCCTGCACCCCTCCAAAAAAAAAAAAAAAGCAGCATGACAGAAGCCAGGATAAATGCATAGCCACCATGCCATGCCCAAAACCATCAGGGTCTGCCTAAGGAGCAGCTCTGAATCCCTACCAGTGCCCAGCACAGAATTCCAGCCTTCTGCCCACTCCACTGCCCGCGTTGTACACTGCTCCCTCCAGAGGAAACAGGCAAAGGCTGATTCTGCACAATGCCCCCAAATCAGAAGGCAGGAAGAACAGCAGAAAGCTGAAGTGCATCTGCCAAGTGACTGAGAGCTGAGCATAATTTTGCTGGGGAAAGGCTGTGAATGTGTCTGGGAGATAAGCTATTCCTGGAAAAGTCACATTTAGTAACCCTTCCCAGGAGTAATTATTTGTATTTCTTCCTGTTAATATCTCATAACAAGATAAATAATTACAGAAAAATATCAGTTCCCTGGATCTTGAATTTGTAGTGAGATTTTCCTACTTAGCTCAAGATGGGCTTGCTTCTAAAATCCTCAGAAAAGCCAGATTTAGACACAAAATTAGAAGGTTAGATATTGCACTCAGAAAGGGATTTTCTGAAAAGCCTGAAGTGATTTCAGTAAGGGCTTTCTGATCTCCATTATTTGTGAATTTGCTAAACCAGAAATGTACTTTTGGCTCATCACAATGCTACTGTCTCTGCTATTCCATCTGTCTTAGACCACTGGACCATGCTGCCTGGGCTGTGGGGATTAACTGAACGCCATCCAGGGAGCCCCTCCTTCACTCATCAGCCCCCAGCACACCTGCCCAGCACGCCAGAATGCGTGTACCATGTCTCCGATGACGTGGTTGTCCAGGCGTCTTGTGCGATTCACACCTCTGATACCAAACACGACAAACACCATGGCTCCTGTGTCTACCAGTGGCCGCACCGCTGGCTTCCCGCAGCCCGTGTTCATGCACGGATTAAATCCAGAAGTGGCTGACAGCTTGGCTTTGGGTGCTGCTGTCAAATACAGAAGAAAGGTTGGTTACAATAGAAAGAGGCAAAAAAAGGTCTGACTCTCTGGACTTGATAGGCAGACACGGCTGAACAGGTCCTCACCAGCTTACCTTTCTCACTGGGAACGTAAAGGATGCCTTTGGTGGGTCCATCCGGGCTAGAGCTGAGAAGACAGCCAGGAGGTGCTACACACACTCGGCCATGGTAAGGGGGCTTGTGCGACTGGGCAAAATACAGTTTCCTGTGCAGCAAAGAAAGTTTGTTATGGGGGACCAGAGGTAGCAAAGATGACGTGAGCATAACATGGAAACAGATGTTCTTAGGGATAGAAGGAAAGGAAAAGGTGAGTAATTCCAGGCCTGGCTCCCTAGCCACTGCATATTCTGCGCTGCCTGTTCAGCCCAGGAGTTCAGGTGGGTAAGGGGAAGATAAGCAATGTCTTTTTGCCACCCAAAGAAGCCTCCAATCATAGTCCTGCACCTGTCAAGCCTTTGGCACATTAATGATGCCATCAGCCTGCAAAATACCTTTGCAAAGATGGGGCACGTGTGCAGCACAGCAAGTCCTAGGGCCACAGATGTCACCACCTGAGGGCAGGACTGGCACTGGGCATTAGGCCCCCCGTATCAGCCACTCGGCTGTGCTGGTTTTGCTGCCTGGCCTGAGTGGGTTTGGAAGGTTACCGTGTTCGCTGCTGCTCCTTGGCGGCCACGTAGAAACTGAAGTCGAACTTCCAGCCTCTCTTGGTGTCACAGGACAAGGTGGTCATCATCCACTTCCTGGGGCTCGTCTGCTTAAGCAGCCCTACTGTGGACACACAAGCTGTCAGCTTCCTGGTGAAGTTACCGAAAGGCACTCTATACACCTAAGCAATGGATTAATGAAAACAGACACTTAACTCCACAGGGTTGCAGCCTGTTGCACATTAGCATCACACACTCCCCTCCTCCCTGAGCACCGCCACAGCCACACAGAATGAGCACTGTAGGCACAAACCCAGCCAGCCCCCAGCCTGCCTCCTTCCCAGTGCTGCCCAGTGTGTGCGGGGACCCCTCACCACCCCCATTCTCTGTGGCCCGGGCTGAACGGTGGCTGCTCTGTCCAGGGTGAGGGACATCTGGAAGCGAGTCCTCCCGGGGGGGGTGTGTGTCCAGTATGGCCTGTGCACAAGCAGGGTTGCCTGCTCGCCTGTGTCTGCGGATGAGCAGAAGGAGGCAGTGGGAATCCAGCTTTCTCAGCAGCAGTTTCTACTAGAAGGAGCTCAGCCAATGATGCCAGGCCTCATCTGATCTCCCCAGACACCCACACTTCTGCTCCCATTGCTGACAGTCACATCACAACAACAGATTGGCACTATGAGGCATAATCTCTAGCAATGCCAGGCACAATGCCCTCTGTGTCAGCTGCCTTACTGCAAACTGCACCCAGAGCTACCTAGGATCCCATGAAGAAACAGGAGGAGGCTCTTGTGCTCACCTGTTGAGTGCTGCACTCTTGATAGAGGGGTCCAACATCCCTGGACTGACTCACCTGGAATGAAGGCACCTCCCCATCTCCCGGTGACACCATCTGCCAGGGGGCAGGGACGCTGGCATTGAGCGAGAATCTGTAGATGGCTGGCCTTCCCTTACTTCGGGACTTGGAGATATACACAGTCCCCTGGAGATCTGAAAAAAAAACAGAGAGCATGAGGGCTAGTGGTACACTTCTCAATCAGCAAATCCTACAGAGATGGACAGCAGCAAAGGAGGGTTCTTCTGGTCTGCGGTTTCCTCTGGGGAAGGTCTAGTAGCACAGCACACTTTTCAGAGGTTTTCACAAATATATCCTGAGCTGCAGTAATTCCTGATGGCTTATTGATTCATGTCATCTCGGGACCTGGCCCAATAACTCCTTTATCCTCAAAATCCCCTGCAAAGCAGGCTGAATTTACTCTCCTCACAGCCTGCCAACAAGGTCGTGACACAGGACTGGGATGCAAAAGCTCTGAGCTCCTAGCCCTGTACTCAGAGCAGAGGGATTTGTCACTAGCCTGCACTGCCACCTGGGCTATAGGACCACATCCTAGTGAACAGTAAGCATTCAGGGGAAGAGGGATTGTAATGATGCCCCTTACATCTAGCACCAAGCTAGGGCTCAGCAGGGCAGAGTCTGAAGAGAACTATTCCCCATCAGCTGTTCAGATCATATGATTCAGTTTTTACTTTTTACCCAAGTGGATCCTTGGGCCCTGTACCCAAACGTGGTCAGAGTCATCACACCCCACTTACCTTGCTGCCCTGTGTCACTTATGCTCCCTTTGCTTCCCCAAGGTGACCCTGAGCCCCTCTTCTTTTTTTCCAAGGAGGTTCGGATGTTGTTCTGCAAACTGTGGGGCTTTTCCTGAAACAAACCTGTCCCACAAGGTTAGTCAGGGAGGAAAGATTGACTGGCATGACAAGAGACCTACCAGCCCTCCGCACACCATGGACTCTGCTATTGAACACCAAACCCTAAGCAGGAAACACAGAGCCACTGACCGCCAGCTGGTCCCTGGCATGTAACCAGCACATACGAGTAAAAGTAGCCAGTTTTCATGCACTATAAAGGGCTTGGGCCAGGCTGCACCCACTGTGGTCTGGGCACCAGCGCTCTCACCTGAGCAGGTGATGCAGGAGATGCCTTCAGCACTCAGGTTGTATTTCAGGTCTAGCAGCACCTGGATGTTAGTGTCTGGCCGGAACAAGAGTGGAGCACGGCTGGCTGGATGGAGGCGGCTAGCAAAGAAGATGGACAGGAGCAAAACGAGGAGAAAGAGCCCTGCAAGGAGAAGCCCAGGTAAGTGTGTGGGACCCTACCTACATCTTGCACTTAGGATATACTCAGACAGCAGAGATGTGGCACAAAGACGGTATTTCAACAGGAAAAAGGAACAGTCCCTAAAGCACCCTGGCAGCTGGGCTTTCTTGTAATGAGCCCCATGCCTGGATAATCCCATTGGGACTTGCCATTCCAGATCCGAGTGAAAGGAGAGAGATGGAAAAGTCTCAGAGTTCCTGAAATAGTTCCCTTAGGGACTGACTGTTCTGGGGACCCTCTTCCACTGACTCAGAAGCCATGTACTATGTCCCCTTTCTCAATCTCTTGTCACTAACAATTAAGGCTTGGGGACTGACTGAGATGCTGTCAAACCCTGTAAATTCCTCGCAGATGGAATACCCCCCTCCTTCCTTACCCACAATCACCCATCTGTTCTTCACCGCAGCCCACAGCACCCAGTGTTCCAGCAGCTCCTGCAGACGCATTATCAAGTGACCCCGGTTGCTCTTCTCTGCAGGGAGCTGCAGATTTTCTGGCATCACAGACAGCAAGGGGACATCCCCCATTTCCAGGGAGCCTAGAAAGAGAGAAATCAAAGGCAGTCTCAGTGCTCATTGTCATGAGTGTCTCTCATAGCTTTCTGCTCTACTTTACAAAATCTTCTGCAAGGTGCTGTACAACTCAATCAAGGTAAGGAGATGGAGTAAGACCCAGGCAGAGGCAGGGACTTGCCCAGGATGTCACAGGAAGCATCTTTGTCAAGTCACTGCTATGTGACAGCTTTGCTTCTAGATCCATAGTTCAGTCCAAAGCCTATTGCTTCAGGCTCTTCTTCCTCTGCCAGATCCCACTAACAATGTCCATATGGTCACAGAGACACTGCAAGCTGCTTGGGCCAAGCAAAATCTGTCCCTGTCCCACTAAGGATGTCTTGCAGCTAATTACACAGAGCTGACCTCTTCCTGACTGCAGCCTGGCTCCTGTCTGATATCTTTACTCCAGCTCAGGGATGCCCAGGGAACTGCCCTCTTCTCTACAGGTGAGAGGTGGGCACTCGCTGTAGTGGGGTCACAGTGTGCCTGGCACGCTTGTACAGCTGGCCCACAAACCACGCTTGGTCACCAGCTGGAACAAGCTGCTTTGCTTCTTCACAAGCTACCTGATGTCCAGGGGCCCCTGGAGAACAGCACCCTGCTGTTTGCTCTGCTCCAGGGAAGGGAAGGAGGGATTTCCATACATTACCATCGCAGGTGGCTCTGGCATACTAAGGAGACAGCTCCTGCAGCACGGTGCCAAGCTGAGCTCTCTGCCTCTCAAAGGCAGCTCAGAGCCTGCTCTGCAGGGAGGGGGTCTGCACGCTGCTGCGGGACTGACAGGCTCTCAGCCGCTGACCCATTCACCTCCAGTTTGCTGCTACACCTAAAGGCTACTCGCTACCCAGAACACTCACGTTGTGGGTTTTCAAAGAAAGAGATCCCAGCAAGTTTTAAAAGCCAAGTACAACAGAGCATGACCCTGTAAGCACCCTTATATTGGATCAGGGCTAGAAGCATTATCTCCTGCAAGAGACAAGGAGGGAATTTCTGGGCTCTTTTTCTAGACTGTTTATGTGGTCTCAGGCAAGTCATAGCCTCTTCCTGCCACGATGGAGGAGGTGATGCTGGAGAATAATAAAGTCTTCTCTCACCTGCTTCTGAAATGCAGTGCTCTGAATGGCAGGGAAGAGAGGAAAACTTTCTTTACTCAGAGATGAACTGTCCTGGTGTTATGGATTATATGTTTCATGGCTACATCTGTGTCACATCAGTGATTCCAGACAGAAATCCACAGTAGACCCAAGAGGATTAGCAAAATAGTTAGAAAGTGTGTATCACCACCCACTGAAGACCTCAAAGCAACTTACAACCATCAGTGAGTTCAGACTCCTAAAACTTCCTGTGACAGCACCATCTCCAGCTCAAAAGCAGGAAAACTGAGGCATGGACCAGCAGCAGGGACAGAAAGACCTGCAGGAGGAACAGGGCAGTGTGGTTCCCCTGCAGGCACTACACAGCAGGCACGTACCAGGCTCCTCCTCCACACTGAGCAGTGGGATGTCATCATCCAGGTAGGGCAGCGTCTCCCTGCCTGCTCTGGAGGTGGCCTCCGAGGCAATGAAGAGATCTTCAGCCCGGTGCAAGGCACTCTTCTTGGTGCACTTCTGACTACAGCTGGATTGGAGCAGGAAAGGAGACAAAGCCATGACTTCTAAGCCACGTACCCCACAGAGAGTTACCAGAGAGCTCCTTCAGTGGTAAGGAGCACAGCAACAGCCTGCTCCAATTACTTGGAAAGAAAACAGGCTGTGCCGTGAGCAATTTCCATTGCTAAGTGCTGAGAGGTCAGGGGCTGAGCTGCTACGGCAAGGCAGTAGCAGGCTGGGCTGGATACAGAGAGCAGGGCTGAGCCACGAACACCCGGTGCTGAGTGACAGGAGCTTCAGCAGTTCATCTCCCTGGTAATGAATTAAATCAGGCCAGATCATCTGCGCTGCTAAAGAGCAGGGGAAGGGGAAATGTGCTGACTTTCAAATACAGATCTGCATGCACTGCTTGTGCTCACAGGCAGGAGCAATGTTCATCTGTCTGCCTTGCAGGGTCTGTGTCTCCCCAGCTTGAGGATGTAGCTGTGCAGTAAGTGCTCTGAGGACCAAATGGCCCTAACACTCCACAGGATTCAGTGAACAGGTATGACTGGCATCGCAGTCTGGCTCCTGGGAGGCAGCAGCAGCACGTACACCACAGAGAATAAGACCAGGACCTGGCCCTTCAATTTTGCTCCAATCTGGAATGGCAGAAGTTAAATTTCCCTTCTGTTAGAGACTAACAGGGAATGGTGAAGTCAGGCTGCCTCAGGGGGATGAGGGTGAGAGGAGAGGGCAGGAATTTGCATACTGCCCTGGCCATGAGTTCCACAACAACTTCCCACCCACACAAGGAGGCTCTACAGCTCACCTGGTTTGGCAGGAGCTCTCTAGTGGGGACACATAAAGGGTCCATATTCCAAGAGCGGCTGGCATGGTGAAGAGCACAGCTACCCAGCAGCAGGACACAATCAGCGACATGAAGAGACCAAAGTCATGCACAGCTGGGATCTACATGGAAAGAGAGAACATGGAGTTGGGATTAAATGGGGCAGAGACACATCAAGCAGAAAGATTTCTGGAGGAACCCGAGAATAGCACACGCTGACCTCAGTCATGGCATTGCAGTCAGCAAACCTGGGAGGTACAGAGCGTGAGACAGAGCCTGACAGACACTGGATCCTGTTTGATCAGTGGCACAGGGAATACTGCCTTGGATGCTGATACAGCGAGAGTGTCCCCTGCCTTAGAGCAGGAGAGGGACAGCCCTCTAGGGCAAGCAAGTCCAGCATGTCCCTGTGCTAGAGGAGAGGACAGACAGAGGGTACGGGCAGCTCCCCTCTCTATGAAGGCCTCTGGAAGAAACAGAAAGCCCTAAATGCCAAAGGTGCAGTGTACCTGAGAGAAGATGTTGGCAGCATATGCTGCAGCTGTGGTCAGGGAAGTGAAGAAGGTGGCTTTCCCTGCTGTCTGGATAGTGTGGATCATGCGCAGTCGAAGGTCCTTGAGGTGGGTGGCTTGACGGTAGGTGTTGATGAAAACAAAGACATCATCAACCCCTGGGAAAAGAGGGGGAAGATTTTGATACTTTGCTCATAGTAGGAACACATGCTAAAAATCTAGTTTCTCCTCAACATCTGACCTGCAAGTATTTCACTTAAAAGTAATGGACAGAAAGGGCTGGAAAACCCAGTCTGTGTTTGCCACCATCACCTGTCTCTCTCCTGCAGGCAGGAGATACAGCAAGGCAGCACAGGCAGGTTTTGAGTAAGGTACGTGCTTACCAATCCCCACAATGACAAAGGCAGCCACACCATTGAGTATACCCAGGTACTGGATCCCAAACACAACGTGGTACAGGAACAGAGCCACCAGGCAGCTCAGCCCAATGCTGGCAATGCCAAAGAACGACAGGAACACTATAAGAGGAAAGGAACATGGAAAAAACACTACTGCAGGCTGCCGCCTGGGAGAACAGACACCTCCCACCTGCCCTGTTGGAATACTGGTTCTCAAGAGTGTGTTGGTGACAGAAAATAGCTCAGGGCTGCAAGAGTACTGTTTGCAGACTCCTTCCCATGAGGCCCATCCATGAAATTATACCAGCTTTACACCAAGCTTAGTAAGATGGGAATTTGCATCTTATTCCTGTTCTCCTGGGAGCCTTCCCCCCACGCTGCCCACAAATCTCTGCTCTGGAGAATCAGACTTGCAGAACCTTCTGCATGCTACTGTGCCACAAAGCCAGGCTGGCGTCGGGGCCTCAGAGCCCCTCCTGGGGCTTGCACAGACACAAGGAGTCGCGGCACACTGGGATTTGGGTGAGAGCAGGGCAGCTGTGACCGCAGCCTACCTGAGCAGGAGGTGAGGATGTAGACCAGGACAGCTATGCAGCTACTGCTGATGAAGGCCAGCAGCATGTCATTGTTGAATGTCCTCCTCACTTCATAGTCAAACAAATCCGTCCCTCCATACAGCACCTGGACTTTGCTAGGGTGGAAAGATACGAAGGAAGGAAGAGGAGTACACAGAGTACACAGCAAAGGGAGCAGAGCCAGGGGATTTAACAAAGCACAATGTCTCCCCAGAGCCAAAGGAGGTCACTGCTCTAACAAACTTGGCAGTTCTCTGAGGAAACAGCTCAGAGTGCTGAGAGCATGTTGAACAAGGTTGCTGCTAGAGGTGAAGTTCACTAAAGAAGGGAGAAAAATAAAAGGGCAGGTCTAATATTTTTAGAATTCCTCCAGTGCATGGTGGGTCTTTGGCACTAATAGACTTCTTGCTGACAAACAGCTCCTGAAGCCTCCAAAGCCAGTTCCATCTGGAATCCTAATCATTGCTTATTAAGCACAAAGGTAATAACCAGCGGATGCAGGTAGAGTGAGAGCTTATCAGGAACCATACAATTTACTAGCTTCTGCTTCTGGAAGCAGCCTCTGAGCAGAAGCAATCCAAGGTAATTTAACCAGGAGCGCAATAACGCCGCACTATAGGAGGCTATCAGGAACCTAAGCTTCAGAACCGAGCCCCAATTCCCTTTCAGCTTTCCATAACTGCAACCCACTCTGTAAGGAGTTACAGTGGCATGAGCGAAAGCACAATCAGATCCACAGGCTGGCCATGCTGCAGGGCTATCAGAGCAGAGCAGGCACATCTGCCCCGAGCAAACCTTAAGACAGAGCTTTTATACCCTGAAGGCCTATTCCAGCCACTCCTTTAGCAGAGCAGCAAGCACCATCCTCTCCAGCCTCTGCCTTTCCCTTCTCTCTCCCACTCCCAGCAAGGCTCCTGCCCTGTCTGCACACCCTCTCACCTTGTGGACTGCTTGGCCAGCATGGCCACGTAGGTGATGACAAAGTTCTGGAACTTGTGGCGCTGCTCCTCCCAGCGGTCCTCCACCGAGTAGTAGTTGGGCAGTGGTGCGCCAAAGAGGATTTCGCTCCGCAGCAGGGAGCTCTTCATGTTCTCGGCAGACAAGCCCTCATCCACATACCAGTAGAATTCAGGGTGGGTCATGGCCAGCTCCAGGGACCCTGTGGGAGAAAGGAGTGCCACTTTTGGTCCTGCTTAGTTGACTTGGCAAGGCACAGGGTCTAGTCTGACAAATGGAAACCAGGAGTGATCCTGTCTTTCACAGCAATTCTGACTGCTGCTGCCTTGCAGAGAGCAAGGAGGGCTAGGGAACGCTGGATTACACTCACCTTCCACTTCTGCTTTGTGACTCTGCTTGCAACGTTGCCTATATGCAGTTCCCCAATAGGGAACATCTTCCACATAACTACGGTCTGAACCACAGCTCCCCCAGGCAGCAATGCATACAACCTCCCCATCAATACCCCGCTGCTGGATGCACTCCGCTCTCGTACAGTGGGCCAATATTTGCTCTATCACACTGGGAAGCACAAGAACTAAACAATGCCCATAGAAGACGTGGAGTCCTGGCTCTGCTGGGATCTGGTACCTCTGCCATCTGATGGTGTCAGGGATACAGAGATGGAGGCACTCAGCCAGTTCTGAGTAAGAGACACCACCCATCTACCCCTAAAATCCAAGTTCCCTTTCACACCAGAAGGACCCAGAAACTAGGCTCTTTCCTGTTTTGGTAGCAGAGCTGTTACTCATACTGGAGCAGATGGAGTTAATTCCTTGCCTGCTCCCTGTATGGCTCCTGGACAGCTATCATCTCCAGCCTTCCCCTGGGAGACAGATGGAGGCTTCATCCCACAGCCACATCACACCCACAGATCCTCATGATTCACCTCTTTCTCACCATCCAGAGCCTCTGCTCTGCTAGAGAGGCATGGCACAGGGTACAAAGCTGGGAGGATGAGGCAGGGCCTTCCTCCTCCTCTCCTTATAGGAGCCTTTCCAGCTGGTGACTCACAAGCTGCCTGTCAAGCTCCAGAGCAGCCCACAGAACTCCTTCATCTGCTCCATGGCGCAGGGAAGCTCATCCCTGCAGTCTGCCCAAGACCTGACACTCCGCTAGTTAACCACAGTTGTTCACAGGGCACAAGGGTCAGAAGAAGGGATCTGTACAGTGCAGGACTCCCCCTCATTTGCCCCTCTTGCTTGCCTGTTGTGCCCTTTGTGATGCATGGCTGGGGCTGCAGGGGCTTTGCTGAAAGGGCAGAAAAGTGGCCTTAGTGCAGGAAAGAGAATCCGTTGCAGGAATTTCCTGCAGGAAAGATGGCAGCATCTTCTCTGTACAAGGCCAGTCATCCCTCTTAGCTGCACACTAGTAAGAGACTGCCCAAACTTGCACGAGATGCATGCCAGCCCTCACCCAGAGCCCTCAGCTCACCTTGGATGTCAGCAAGGTCTTGTCCCATGCCATCATAGTAAATCTTCCCTCCTCTCTCAGTGGGGAAGAAGTAGGTCATGAGGGAGCTGGGAGGGGAGCAGTAGGAGTAGGAGCCCAAGGGCAGGTCCTTCAAGACCTCGTGGGGCTTCCAGCAGAACTCCCGGAAGCGAGGGTGGTCCATGATCTTGCGTTCAACCTCATGGATGGTAACCAGGCGCTCAGTGGTGAAGATGTTGTTTTCAGAGTCCCCCCGAGCCAGAAAAATTAGCTCGATGCGCCAGTGGGCATGTGTCTGTGTGTTTGCACTGATATAAGCACTGGAGTAGTCCCAGCGTGGGGCATCCCTCCCAATTCGGGAAGTCCGGTTTCCTGGGTTCAGGAAGGCACGGGGCTTGGGAGAGCTCGTCCTGCCCTCTGGGGTGCTGCGCTTGGCCCGCGCACTGACCCCGAGATGGGAAACGTTGAGGTGAAGCTGCTGGAGCTGCTCAAAGATGAGCCTCTGCAGGGTTTCAGAGGTGAAGTCAGCCAGGTCGCGCCGGTTCCTTCCCCATGACCCAAACTGGGACTTAAGGGCCAAGGCAAGTGCATCGAAGCGCTGAGAGGACTCGTGGTTGCGGATCTCAAAAGCATTGTAGGAGATGTCAATATCCAGGGCCGGGTAGTGGAGGAACATGACAACAGCGAGCACGGCAGGGATGGCACAGCCCAGGAAAAGGATGAAGCCAGCGCAGTACGGGTTGGTAAATACCCAGCCAACAATATTCCAGAAGCCTGACACCGGTAATGTGACACGCAGCGGCCTGACTCTGCATGGGCTTTTCCCACACAACAGACCACCCTCTCGCTTCTTCTGGGAGCTGAAGGCTACCTCGTCATCTTCCTCATCTAGCCAGGCATCCTGTAACAAGGGGTCATCCTCTGTGTCCATGTCCGGCGCCTGCACAAAGGGGTAGAGAAAAGCAGTCAGCAAGGGCCAGCAGTGGGGGACACCAGGAATCCATAGCAGCCACAGAAGGGTCTCAGTGGCAGACCTGGGGAGGGAGGCACACTCCAGCCCTGCACCCTCAACAGCAAGCATGACTCCTTTCAAACCCACAGATTTGCTACAGCCACTGAAAGAACAGGCTCAGATGGGTATCCCACACCCTGCCTGGCAGAGGAATCAGAGAGGGGAGAAGTTCAAACTACAGTCCCAGAGCTTGGTGTTCTGGCAGAAGAGGGTCTGCAGGGCTCCAGGATCGCCAGGCATGGAGCTGGCAAGGGATTCAGTGTGCTGCTCAGCTGCAGCAGCAGGAACCTCTCATTAGCTACCCTGGTTCTTGTGCTCAGGAACAGTTCATGCTACCAAATGAAAAATGCAAGGGACCCTGTCTTCCTCTCCTTAAAACTGACAATAGATTTTCCCCCAGCTACTTACAGCTGTATTCATCCTTCCCACAAAGCGTGCCTGTGTGCACACACAGAACCAGAAGCACGTCCACCCTCCCTGCAGACACACACGCATGCACTCACACATACCAACCCCCCCAGAGAACTCCCTGTGACCCCTCCACCGCCAGCGTGGGAAGGGAAAGGGCTGAACAACCCCGCTTTCCTTCCAGCCCTGTGGGACATTGTTTATGGAGTGGCTTTTCCCAGTTCCTATGGAACAACCAGGAAGCAAAAGCGGTTACTGCCCCCATGGAAGGACAAGGAGGAAACTCCCCCTGATCTGGGTGGGAAAGAAAGGCAGACTCCCTGGGAGGTGCTCGGCTTTGCTGGGGGCTGCTGGCACACACAGGTTCTCAGACTTTCCTATGTGCCCCTCCTAGGTGCCACATGGTGGCCTCTCAAGCCAGGCAGCCCCAGGTCGTGGTCCCCGAGAGCAAAGCCCAGACCCCATAAGTTTCACTCCCTTTCCCAGCTCCCGGCAGCAAAGCCAGCAGCCCCCGCTCACTGAATGAACAGATTCAGTTTGTTGCTTGACCCTGATAGCTGCAAGCAATTTACACACAGGCCAGAACCAATTTACCAGCTTTGCTCCTAACCAGCGCTTCTATTTTAAAAGGC